AAAAAAGAGTTAACAGTTCGTTTATCTGGAACCGATTTCCCTGGTTGACTTACCTACTAGCCATATGCCATTTCTTGGGAACCTGAACTTCACTCGACCGAGCAATTTATTTCGTGTTGGCAAATAAAGGTACAATAACCCAGTTGCAACCAAACGAATCGTATTCCAATGTCCTTTTCCGTGCCAAAGTCACTTATTATCGTCCAACCTTACTAGAAAAAAGAACGTAGAATACCAAATGAATTTTAGTGTTCATCGAATCATTACGAACCCAATAAAGTTCTTCCATCAAATTGGAACTCCTGCTGTACTGTTATTTCCGTGGTCCATGTAGAATTATTGTAAGACAAACAGTAAAACACTTACGCAGCGTTATCTGTACACCAGCAGTTAAAGCCCGCAGGTGGCTGTTTGTGCCGAGATGGCGATAAAACCCTTGTGTTGTATAAACACGTCACTTTTCACTGTAAGTTGAAATGAGCAGTTTACGGTTAGAAGGCAATCCTGAATTACAATGTGGCTAAACACGCATGTGGGTTTATCATCTAAATGGACTGCTCGCAGAGAAAACTGATCAAAATTGCGCATAGGCCCAATCTTAGTGATCACGTTAAAATTGTGCTTAGTTTCTGTTAGGATGACTTTCCTTTGCCATAAACAGGAACTTAAGATATTTCCAAAGGCACCCCATGGTACTGTTTGGCCTTGTTAGTTTCTTTACGACCAGGGGTAAAAAACCTTTATACCTCCCGGAAACTAACGTCCGATTCCTGGCCCTTTTATTTTTCGAACAGCCCGGAACCATAACAATGCTACGAGGGGTACAGTTCAGAAGAAGCAAGTGCTCGCCCGCAGTGAATCCAAAATTACAGGTAATCTTAGAATTAACTAGTTTCAGGAGGCATTGACATTTTTCTACTTAGCAGTATTGCTTTCCCTATTAATTCTAAAATAAACTAATTACAAGCTTAAAATAAATAGCTGTTTTCCGCCGACAAGCGCATGGGGCCAGCACGGCTGGAACGTAGTGATACTAGGCCACGGGATGCAGGGGTTCGTTCTATACCAGTACATTCTAGACATTTCTGTATCACAGGAAAGAAGTGTGCAGTTCACAGTTGCTATGGAGCTCTGTGTGAATGGTTCTGCAGAATATTAATGGTAAACTATATTAATTTCTAAGGTCACGCAACCAAACATAAACAGACTAAATATACACATAGTTGATCTGAAATACATTACCAAATCGCAATAAGTGATTTATAGTGAAAACATACACAAAAACAAAACTAACAGCTGTACGATAAACAGGTAAACATTAGATTCGATTATAATGGAAGTTAAAATACAGTAATGAGAGTAATCAAAAAGCGAATCAGAACAAACTTTTAATGACATGTTGCCTAAGGACCAGTACATTATCGTTAGCAAATCATCAGTGCTGATACCCTATAAAACCGGCGGTAGCTGGCACCAACTGCCCGGCAGGGGGCGTGGTGTACCTTACACGGGTGTGAAGTTTAAACAACATTTCACGGCGTTCTAATAGTGTCAATTCGTTAATGGCTTCAGAGAAAAGAAAACTGAAGAGTAAAACGTGTTTTTACAGAAGAAGTCATTATTATAACAGCGGAAACAACGCATATCTTGTTGGTAAACAACATAACCCAAAAGCGTAAATTCGATGCTACTATGGGAAAACCTAACGCAGTCAATCTGTTAATGTTTTGTTGTAAAAAATCTGGAATGTTAGAGCTTTTGCTGACTGATACATTAGAACAAGAAGGCTAAGCGCCCTTTTCATTTCCATTTAACAGTTTTTATCATATGGGTAGTTGGTAGAAATAACCAAAAGATAGAGTGAAGATCAGAAAGGCTTGATAACGTAAGGAAACAAGAGTAGTGGAGCGAGCAAAATGGTTCTCTTTGGCAGAGGGACAGTGGTAAGGTCAGGTACATATCCCGAAAAATCATTTTCAAATCAATCATCTATATTTCAATTTAATTCATAGTTTTGAACTCAAAGATACTGTTTGACGCTAAAACACCGACATTTACTCCCCTGAACGCGCTTTTTACCTCCGCTAAGGAGGTTATGTTTTCACCCCTGTTTGTCTGTCTGTTTGTTTGTTTGTCATCAACATAACTCAAAAAGTTAGGGACCGATTTTGATGAAATATTCAGGGTAGGTCGGAAATGGGTTAACTTAGAAGTGATTAGTTTTTGGTGGTGATCCGGATCAAAAGTCAATCAATAATCAATAATCAAAAATCAATCATCAACATAACTCCGAAAGTTATGGACCGATTTTGATGAAATTTTCAGGGTAGGTCAGAAATGGGTTAACTTAGAAGTGATTAGTTTTTGGCGGTGATCCAGATCAATAATCAATCATTAGTCAATAATAATAAAAAAAATTGCTGCCTTGGCGGAGGTCTGCGCTCTCGGAGTGCTTTTCTAGTTTAAATGTATATTTCTTCAATACGCACCATTAAATGCGTCACTTCGCTTGGAGCTAAAAAAACATTTCCAGAAAATGTGCTTTTTTATAATTTCTCAATCCCATTTCGCACGAAAACGCCTCCTCTTTCTTCTAAGGATGAGTATAAAATTTTCATTTAGGGCTTATCGAATGCATTATTAGCATAAAAATGGAAATAACCTAAGAAGACATGAATCTGTCGAGGAAGGTTTACCGTAAAGAACGCTCTACAGCGCAAGTTTTATGTCGCTATTTTTAAATCTTGATAAATGTATAAGGAAAATACGGATTGTAAATTGTGATACCATATAAAGTGGAAGCTTGTATTGAGCACGTATTGGGAGGGTAGTGTTTTATTTTTGGCATGTAAATAAATGCAAGACAAAAATATCAGTACGTTATTAAGGCCTATATTTGGCAAAATAGTTTCTTTTTCAGCTTGTGAAATACTTATCTATATATAATTGTAATGAAAAAAATTTTTAGAGCACAAAGTCCCTTTTTGTTGCTTTATTAACCAACCTAACCTTTAAGCGAATCAAGGAGTTATAACAGAAGGAGATTACAGCAAGCCTCTCTATTGTCCGATGTCTGTTACGGTGGGCGGAGCTAGCTACCGTTTCGTCTGCGTCGCTCTCCTCAGCTTGGAGATTAATTTCATATGCGTTATTTCGCGTTAGAATTCGAGATCAGTAGTGTCAAAGCGGCGCTGTATGCTGACGATTTTTTTCACAGGTAAATGTTCGGACGATGTGCTGGAAGGGAACGGTATCATAGAAAGCGATTATAAGGTGGTGACTGAGGATGGTCGCCATGAGTTTTTTTGAGTCGGTGATAGATGGCTTTTTTTTTTGCACAACTCAGTGAAAAATCACCAAGGAGAAGTCAAAAGAAAACGTCCCAACTGTGGTTTGTGAAAATGACATTCAAGTGAACGCCTGTCCTTACTGCCAAAGGACATAATATTAATACATAAACGTTTGGATCCTCCTGCCCTTGGGTCCCATAAACATATTCACTGTGACAGTGCCTAGGCTTTGTGACTGGTTTTACATTTCTTAAAGTATTTTTTCTCTCACTCGGTATAATTTTAATATTGTAATGCCTTAAAGTAAAATTTCAATCAAAGGTTGAGGCAATGCCACGACATGTCAGTTTACTGAATACTCGTTATAAATTTCTTTATCTTGGAAATCTCCCTTTTTTTCAGGA